CTTAAGGTCACCATAAGTTGGAAATGACTTGAAAGCACACAACAAAAAACTAATCGCATAGCAACGGGCGGGACTTCTGCCTAGAAGGCCAGTGCATGGCCGCTCCTTGCAGCAGCCTGGTTTTCTGCAGGAGCAAACCGGCCCCCATTTCCTGGGACAAAACAGGCTGCAACAAGGAGCCGGGCTGTGTGTACACGTGTGCCCCACCCCCTCCAGCTGTGGCTCCTGTGTCTTTGTGGACTGGGCTGTGTGCCACAAATGGCACGCGTGCCACAGGTTCGCCAACACGGTCCTAATGCCATTACCAAAAGGTACATATTAGAAAGTCCTCTGTACCCATTTAGCTAGAATTTAACAGATGTGATATCCTTCTGAGGGGCTGCCATTCTTGTAAATTTCACTCAATTCTGACAAAGAGAAAGATTAGGATTCATGGTTAAGCCATGCCAAGCAACTAAGAAATGTGTCAAAGCAAGCTGCAGAAACAGATGCAGAGACAAAATAAATAAGAATGTTGGACCAACAGAATCCAGGAAGCCTTGCAATAACAAAAATGCCTAATTAAAAGGTGTCAGTCACATTAGGAGAGGGCACTCCTGCTGGGAGATAAGCTTTGCCAGTATGCTGTAACAACTGTTTGCATAACCTGTTCATTTCAACAGGGCTGTCCTCTTGTTCTAGAATTAGAACAGTACTTATTCTTCACTTTTGTTTCAATGACTTTAAATAAACTTTTCTGTTCTTTAACTTATAAGATGTTGTGCAATCCTGAGACCAGGTGGAAAACCACAAGTTCAGTGCTTCCCCTACAAACCAAGGGGACTTGTCTGTAACAGGGCCTAGGTATAGCAATATGTCTTCAGCTATGAAAACAAAATCATAGCCAACCCCATGTTAATGGCAACCACAGCAGGATTTGAATCTGCAACCTTCAGATTTTTTAAATTAAGAAATAAAAATAAAGCCACAGCTAAAAATAAATCCATTGTCTTTGTGTTATCAGATGCATCCTTGTTTTTTGCTAAAACATTTTATTCATTCAGTATATACAAATATGCAATCCACTTCTATTGCACAGTATGAGTTGTTATCATTTTAGGGATTCATTTGGTGTTACTTGTCCTCAGTATTCCCATTTGAAAACATAGTTTAAACCAGCTCCCTTTGATTTCTTTCAAGGGACGATGTTATACTCTGCTGTTCTACCAAAAAGCTTGGAGCAGTGTCGTATGCTCACGATATCACTGAGAGATAAGGCTAGCCAAGAAAGCTGTCTTCAGCTACCCAATAAACTTCTTAGGAAAGCGGGGGATTTGAATCTAACTTTCCAGAGCCTAAAACATAACCCCATTGGTTCTTAATATAGATGGAGGTTTGAAAACAATTTGGATTTGGATTTTCATTGTATCATTCCATGTTGAATATTTAGTGTGTGAGGCACCTCTGGCGGGCTCCAAAACTGAATTAATAAATTCATAGTTTCAGGATATTTAGAGAATGTACTTCATCCCAAATTAATCTTTGTTGGACCTGTTCTAGTCATGCAGCTTTCATGTGCAATTTCCAGCATTAAATAGAGATGGATGGCCAAGGCACCTTCTTTTTCTAGGAATCATAGGGCTAGATCTAATTGTTATTTCCAGTTAAGAGTTGGATCAAGTCGGACTTATCAACAGGTCTCAACAGGTCCCATACATTCAGTGGGTCTAAGTAGGTTGGGAATAATTATTGGATTTAGCCTGTATTTCTTATCAGAATCGTGCACTACTGTGACTGGCTTCCTTTCTTCAGGAAACTGTCATATACTTTGAGGCAAATGTATTCTTA